AATTGATTTGGTGGACATCAAGGACATGGTTGGGTCCAATCGGTTTCTTGGTCTTGTCATGACCAATGCCACCAGCATTGAGAAGGACTCCAGTTATCGGGTCATTGTCAAGAGAGTCCACAATCTTAAATATTTCTTCCTTGGAAGCAGATGCATCAAAGTGGACATACTGAAGCTTGGTCACATCCACTCCTTCCATGCCCTTAATCGAGTCAATGGCAGCGGAGGCTTTGTTTTCAGAGCGGCACCCCATGTAGATTTTCTTGGTGGAGGGCATCATGGCTAGACGACGGACAGAGTCAAGTCCCAAGCCACTGTTGGCACCGGTAACAAGGTATATTTCAGACATGGTGATGCAGATAGCTGTTGGGTTGGGTTGGGTTGGGTTGGATATAGTTGTTTGTGTTTGTTTTTGCTTTTTGCTTTTGGATCCCTTGGATTTGTGAGAGGCAGAGAGACACAGAACAATTGAAGGATACCGTTACCCGTACCTTTTCCAACCTTTCGGTACGGTTCTCGCGAAGAATTGAGATCGTTCATCAAGTCACGGTACTTCGAAGAGCATCAATGAACACGATATGACTTCTCGACAAGCTCGAACCCGCAGTACCATAGCAAAACAAAGATACTGATGTCAACGTTCTCTGTTTTACCTTTCGATGATCTTCATCGAATGGTTCGGCTCTTGACTTTCTATTGAATTCCCTCCTGAGCAGCCTTTTGGCCACAAATGCTTCCGGCCTGGGCGGATCGAGGTTTTGGCGCGAGCTCTTTTGAAGTGGTCCTATCATACATGCATCGCGAAGGTTTTGGTCAGGGGGGTGGGGTATTCAAATACAGCTTTTTGACTCTGAGTGTGCACTCTGGTGGTGGATATTACCTTCTTCTAATTGATAGTTTGAACTCAATCTACATGCAGCTAGTACTGCAGGCAGTAGACAGGAACTTTCATAAACTCCCATCCTTGTCCAATCTGACGTTCGAGGGCGAAGCCGGACGTAGCTTGCCCAGCAGGTGATAGTTGGATCTCCTAGCTATCTAAGAAAATGCACTGTTCTTTGAGCGACTATGCACTGCACGATGACGTCGGTGCAGCCAGTCTCGCAAACAATGTGGGATACTGGAGAGAGATATCGATGATTACCAGGCAACCGTACTGCCACGAACGCTGGCTATAGCTCGAGAGACCAACCAATGACTGTTTGAATAAAATGCTATCTAATCAGCCTCCACAATTTTCTGCACAACAGAAACCTCCAAAATATGCTGCACAACAGAGCTAAAAATGGGGCTTTGTGGTGTAGACTGACAATGCTTCAAAGGCGGCCTTTTGCTTCACAGTGTCAGCATACATCTTACCACTACGGAGTTCGGTTTGATCACACACCTCGCCTGTGGTTCCCCGCTTCGAGGCAACAAAAGATCCACTTTGGAACGCTTCATCATATTTACCAGTAAGTGCCTGAATGTACCGATCAGTTCCATCTTCCAAGTTATGCATGACCCCAGTTGCATTCATCAAGGGCATAATCACAGGCATCATCAATCTGAAATGGGCTGGCACTCCATCAGTAATTAATGCAGATGTACCAGAGGTGCCACCTGGGGACACTACCAGGACACTGTACTT